CTGTGGGTAAGAGTCCACCAGGCACTGGCTCCACATATGGCTCATCTCAGAAGGAAGAGACTGCTGCTTCTGGAGGAGCAGCCTATACAAAGAGGCAAGTATCTGGTTTCCTGCCTGGTAATGCTTTTATCTCACCAGCTGGCAGCTTAATTGTAATGTGATCTAAGTTAGAGCTCTGATTAATGGTAATAAGGTCGTTCTCATTTCCTAAACTTTTCACTAACAAATTTTAATAGTTTAGCTTTACTCTAGCTTTCCTGCCTTCCTGAATTTGTATTGCAGCATAAAGTTTCTTAAGACTCCTCTACAATGATGTTTTCACATTTAAAATTTGCCTTGGATTCTGCCAATATACACCAGAGAACAGTATAGATTTGTGGGTCAGCTATCAAAAAATATGATCTTTGCCAAAATGAGTGGCCGTTGGAGCTATTAGACCCTCTATATAAGACCCACCATCTGTTGTGCTTGATCTGCATCAGCCTGCTATTGTGAAGAGCTGCACTTTCATATCCTCTGGTTGAGGAGACTGGGCAGAATGAGAAAAATCCAAGGCTTAGTCAAGGAAGGCCTTGTAAAACTACAAGTTGGGTGTATGTCCCAGTAAAAGCCAACCAGGCTGTGTGTTAGGAGAGGACATGCAGTGTTGGCATCTTTCTACCCTGAGGGACACGGTAAGTTAGAACATGAATATTTTTATGTGTGTGTGAGTAATTTGAATGGCAGAGGACAGTTGCACTGAAATTAAGTTGTGGTCAAGAGGGTCTGACTGGAGCAAATGGTTTCCCACTTTGTTTTATTACGTGCACTTTAAAATACAAATTTATTCCTTGCCAGAACTGTATCTCTAATTAGAAGGCTTAAGCTTTTCCATAAGAAACAATGTGATGATTTCTACTCCTTTAATTAACATGTATTTTGTTTTTATTTGTATTTGCAGTACATTTCATACTTAGGTCTTCTAGGTGACTTGCATCAAATTTGTAGTCTCTTGAGACTTATGTTTCCAAATATGTGTTGTATAAGAGCAAAACAGTCCAAAGTTGAACATTCTATGTTAACTTTGCTGAAAGCAGATTTTAAGTGACTGAGTGAAGGTTGGATAAGACCTTAATTTTTTTTTCCCTAGACCACAGTACAGGTAAGTGGGTTTAGTTTTTTGCTATTTGGGGGTCTGTTTTGGTTCTTGTACCCTAAAAATGACCCTTGTTCTTTTTTGTGTGTGTGTGTAAGACACAACTCCATGGATTGTGTTTGTGTTGGTTTGGTTTTGGTTGTTTTGTTTTGTTTTTGGGGTTTTGGGGTTGTGTTGGGTTTTTTTTTTTTCTCTTAAGAAACTCATAAGATCATAGATTGGTTTTTCAGAAATTGTTAGAAAGTAAGCAAGTAAAAATTCCTTAACACTGGAATCCACAAGTCATGTTCTGAGACTCAATAATCGGTGATCATATGGTGCTCTATAGAATACATTGCTTAAGTATTTTGTGTGTCTCCCTTGTGTTTTTGTAACTAGGTATCTAGATGAGCAGAAGACAGAGAATGGAAAAGATAAGGAACAGAAACAAACAAATACTGATAAAGAGAAAATTAAAGAAAAGGGGAGCTTCTCTGATACAGGCTTGGGTGATGGGAAAATGAAATCTGATCCATTTGCTCCCAAAACTGATGTTGAAAAGCCTTTCCGGGGCAGCCAGTCTCCCAAAAGGTATAAGCTTCGAGATGACTTTGAGAAGAAGATGGCTGACTTCCACAAAGATGAGCTGGATGACCAAGACAAGGACAAAGCTAAGGGAAGGAAGGAATCAGAATTTGATGATGAGCCCAAATTTATGTCAAAAGTCATATCAGGTGCAAATAAAAACCAGGAGGAGGAAAAGTCAGGCAAATGGGAAGGCCTGGTGTATGCACCTCCAGGAAAAGAGAAACAGAGGAAAACGGAGGAGCTAGAGGAGGATTCTTTCTCAGAGAGATCCAAAAAGGAGGATCGGGGAGGGACCAAGAGAACCGAGAGTGGGCACAGAGGTTTTGTGCCTGAAAAGAATTTCCGGGTAACCGCATACAAAGCAGTTCATGAGAAAAGTTCATCACCTCCCCCGAGAAAGACCTCTGAGAGCCGAGACAAGCTGGGAGGAAAAGGAGACTTTTCCACAGGGAAGTCTTCCTTTTCCGTCACTCGAGAGGCTCAAGTCAATGTCCGGATGGACTCTTTTGATGAGGACCTTGCACGGTGAGATATAGTCCTTCCTACTTGGGGCATTAGTGACTTATGACCACTGTCCCTTAACCCCTTTCCTTGGGGGCATTCAAGAACCAAGACAGGTCCCTTCCTGCATTTTCTTCTGTTCTTATTTCTGTGCTGACACCTCTCTTCATTGGAAAGTGAGTCTCACTGAGTGAATATGTGGTTGGTGGGGACAAAATCAGAGAAGGTGAAGCATCTTTTCAGTCTTTAGTCACTGATATTTGAGTGTCTGGATCTCTTTTATTTCTTTTTACCCCATGCCCATATCCCTACTTTTTCCTTGTTTATCCTCAAATATAATTTATCCTTTTTCTGTGTCACCATCAGCATCTATTTCTTTCTTCTTAGCTTGCTCACCATAGTTTCTGTTAAAGGCCTCCACCATCAGATAACAGCATTTTGAGAATTAGGGAAACAGCCTGGGCCTCATTGCTCTGCCATACTTGTAGGATAGGGAGGGGCGTGCACGCACAACACTGTTCTTTGCTTGAAGATTGGAGTTGCATTTGTTCAATCAGTTGGAAGTCAGCCTGAACAGCATTCCAGCCACATCCCACTCCTCTGTTGTGTCAACTCAATAAACGGCCTTAACTGGCCAAGCTAGTTCATCATCATATCCATTCCTATCTGCCATGTATGTATGTTAAAGCTATCAGCTAATGATAATAAAGCTATCAGCTAAAGCTAATGAAGTATCTTGTGATTTAGCACTTCATCCCTTCCATAATTGTTTTATTAAAAGATTATTGTGAAAGGTAGAAAAATGTAGATACTGGATACCTTCAAAGTTTTGGTGCATTGACATAACTTACATAGGAAGAAAAGAGCTTTATGGATAGATTTTAAAATATTTTAGTGAAGAATAAAGTATTTTTGTGGTTTGAATGTTGTAACTATATCTGTCTGTCTATTTTATTAGATTGGGCTTTCCTTTTTTTTGTTTTTTTCCAGACCCAGTGGATTACTGGCTCAGGAACGCAAACTTAGTCGGGATTTAGTCCATAGCAACAAAAAGGAGCAAGAATTTCGTTCCATTTTCCAGCACATACAGTCTGCTCAGTCTCAGCGTAGCCCATCAGAACTGTTTGCTCAGCACATAGTGACCATTGTTCACCATGTTAAAGGTTAGTCTGGACTTAACCTGCTTTGGACCCCTATTCCACATTTACTCTGTTACTAACAGTTATGAGTGATAACTTTTATTTCTTTTTACCCCATGGGAACTCTTTACATCAAATAAAGAAAGACCTTTGGAAGGTTTGGGTGCCTTAAAAGAAATTTCAGCCGGGGAGTCATCTCTATAATTGCAGATAGAAGTATTTTAAAATGCTCCTTTGATTATGAGAATATGTGAAGTATTTAACATGTGTTTTAAATGCTAGGACACTTAGTGTGGAGCTTTTTTCTCTGTCACCTTTTTTGCTTTCTGGCAGAAATATCTAGAAATCTATAATTTTTAGAGGGAATTTCTCCTCCAAATCTTTGCACCATTTCTTAAGCAAATAGGGGTAGGTAGTTTGGGGAGTGGGAGAAGTAATACAGAATCTGAGTTGGGCCTGTTACAGATTCCATCATCAATTAGATACGGACAGTTGGTGTTGTAATAAAAAGAGATGTAAGCTCTAGATTTATGTCCTTGTTCCTAAGACGAGAGAACTGTCCTGGAAATCCAGTGCCCAGCGTTGGATTACGTCTGAATTAGCCTTTTTCCTTCCTCTTTTCAGCATGTTTATTAGATGGATTTGAGTACTTCCACATCTCTGTTCATATTGAATATTGTACAGAAATATAACATGAAACGTTACATTCTCTGAATCTCCACAGAGCATCATTTTGGGTCCTCAGGAATGACATTGCATGAACGTTTTACTAAATACCTTAAGAGAGGAACTGAACAGGAAGCAGCCAAAAACAAGAAAAGCCCAGAGATACACAGGTGAGGTCCTCAGCCTCACAACTGGAGGTTGTAATTGAAGATTTCACCTCAGATAGTAAATTCGTCTCAGATTTTCCATTTGGCTATTTGGCAGTAGAATAGTCCACTCTAGTTGTAACTATGGGAATTTGTAGCTGTTAGTGGAAGTGACTCTTGGTTTGGGCCCGAGAAAAACTGCCCTGGTAATTATTGTTGGAGGCTGAAAAATGGTAACCTGTAGACTTTTTATAGGTTGAATAAATGTTAACCCATTTTTGGAAGAATTTGCAGCAGATTTGGGGTGGAGGGGTGTGGGACTGTTTGTCCATTATCTATGTTTACTGAATATCCCATCTTAGATATAAAAGAATCTGCTCAACGCATAATTTGTTCTAGAAACAAAAGTTGCCCTTACAGTTATTTCTTCAGTAATCACCTCTTGAGCTTGCTATACAAAGTAGGAGGATGGTATTGAGTACAGGTTTTGAATTTAAGATCTGTTAGGGAGTATATACATGCCAGTCCATTTTTCTTCTCACCCAGACTTAATCTCAGAGAAAAGTAATAGGTCCTTATATTTTTATTTTCATGATGAAAAATACCCCTTGAGGTTAGTAGAACATAGATTCTAGGTATGATCCTGAGATTATAGGCATGGCTGTGGGTGCATCTGTCTTCCTGGGAAGGAACAAGAAATGCCTTTGAGTTTGACTCAAAAGTTGAGAAGTCTTCATATGAGATAAATACAAAACAAGAATATAAATTACATATTCTGAAACATAATAAAGTAAAAAGGCCAAAATCTACTGTCCACCATAGGAACTCTAGAATATTACTAGTACTGTATTCACCCAATGGAATACTATGCAATTTTTGTGTTTTCACTTTTAGAAGGATAGACATTTCCCCCAGTACATTCAGAAAACATGGTTTGGCTCATGACGAGATGAAAAGTCCTCGAGAACCAGGCTACAAGGTGAACTGTTGCTTTGATCAGTAATTCCATCTAAATGAGTGCGTTGGGCATGAAGTTGACAGAAATGTGTTTGTTTAAATTACTCTCTACTTAAGTTTGTGTTTTTCTTTTAAGGATGGGCATAATTCTAAAAATGAACTACAAAGGGTTAATTTTTATTAAATATATCAACAACCTTTGTGAAGTGGTTAGAATATGGTAAATGACCCCAAAGTCTGTTGAGGTGAGCTTGAGAAAAAAAAAGAGAGGAATTTTGGAACAAGTGCCCATGATGAGAGAAGAAACTTTTTGTGATATTTTTCTGCTTGTAAGTATTATCAAATCAACTATATACATGCACTATTTCCAACCATGATTTCAAAAAGACATGCATGTCAGAGGAGAGTGAAATATTCATTCCTAACTTAGTAGACTGTCTTAAACAGCTAGTCAAATTTTTTTCCTAACATTGTACCATAACTGTCATCTGTTGATTACTGTTACTTTAAAGCTGAACATTAATTACTTTGTTAGCCCAACTACATTTTGCAATTATGTGCACATAAACACTGTTAAGCTTGTATGCAGTCTTTTACTATGAAATACTAGATTTGAGGGTTTTATTTAAAATTAGAGATGACTGTACCCAAGCTGCTGAAATCTTTCTAAAAATAGTAATTTTTACATTTTCCTGACATAATTGTGGTTATTGGTTGAATGTGCTTAGAGACACTCTTCACGGTCTTTTGACTCCTGTCCCCTTTCTTTCCAAGTACCTATCAGTTTGGCACTAAGCATGTGAAACACAGTTTTAAAACCTAAGAAGGCACACCCTGCACTGCCTGAGGGAGCGGTGCCTGCATTAGTTGCTTTTCTTTTTTCTTTAGAGGATGCAGAGTCCCTGATGCCTCTCTCAAAAACAAAGTCAAATACAAAACCGTAAAAACCTACTTGCTACCACTTCTGCCTCTTAGTTAAAAAAATTTTGTTTCAGCAAAAAGTTAGAATAATATTTATGCAGAGTAAACTGTTTCTGTTTAGGGGACAGGGAGATATAAATTTTAATGAGGCAGAACCTAATGTAAACTGTCCCTGAAATTGCTTGACATCTCTGCACTTCCAAGTTTATTACTTCCAGTGAACTACCCTCACCCCCATGAATTTTTAAAAGCCTTTGCTGAGATGTTTTGGGGTATTAATATACAACATACCCTGATTGTTAAATTTCCAGAACGTTATCCAAAAGGGGTGGAAGCGTGTGTGTGCAGAGTATTTTTTTGTTTTTGTTTTTAATAAACGTAGATCTGGTAACACCAACTTATAAATTCCTACTCTAGAGAAATTTCTCAAGTGAAGCTTAGCATTTTTGTGGACTGCTTCAGTCTCGCATATTGCACTTTGGACTCAGTCCTTGGTAGTAATTTCATGTAGACAATAAAGCGTGGGTGATTGTTCTAGTGGAGTTAAAGGCAGGGCAATATGAGCAGTGCTCTGCGTGTTCCAGTCTTAGTAGTGACTGAACTTGAGCCAGCCTAACCCCTCACCTTCCAGGGCTGATTTTTTACCTCCTTAGGTTAAAAACTAGCCAGAATGATTGCTGGGCTACAAAGGATACAGAAACAAAATTCAATTACTTGATAGCATTTTTGAAAGCTACTACCACCATCCTCATTATTTTTGAGACTTTGCTTGGGCTCTGAGGGAATTCCTGGTGCTTTCTGTGCACCATCCCATTGGAGTAGAAACCACGGTTTGTGGGGTGGTTGAATTGGTAATCTTGAATTCCAAAACCTTAACCTAGACTTCTCTTTTGCAGACTGAAGGAAAATACAAAGATGATCCTGTTGACCTCCGTCTTGATATTGAACGTCGTAAAAAACATAAAGAGAGAGATCTTAAACGAGGTAAATCAAGAGAATCAGTGGATTCCCGAGATTCAAGCCACTCAAGAGAAAGATCAACTGAGAAAACAGAGAAAACGCACAAAGGATCAAAGAAACAGAAGTACGTAATTTCCCGTCTATTACCCTACCAAGACTTTTTTTTAATTGAGATTTTAATGAAAGTTTATAGAGAACTTGGGATTTCCATTCATTCATTGTTGCACATTTCCCTTCCTGCCTCCCCTAGTTCTCTTTTCTCTCTGGGGGAAAAAAATTATTATTATTGTACAATTCCCCAAATCTACTTTACTATGCAGCTCTTATTTTGGACTATTGTCATACAGATAATACCTAATCATATATTCCTTTTAAGCGTTTCTTTCCCTCATCTATTTCCATACAGTGTACATTATTTATTCCCTCTTTTCTTAGTTTCCCCCAAACCCTGATGTCACCTATGTGGTCAGCTGAATTTTGACAAGGAAACGGCAGTCAGTTAAGTGGGGAAAATGACAGCCTTTTTAACAAATGGTGTTGGAAAAACTATCTGCAGAAAACTCAAGCAAGACCCAAACCTCACACAATACACAAAAACCAACTCAATGTGAACCACTAAGACTTGAATAGGAGGATCTCTCGTGTACTCCTTTTGAGGGCCATGTCAAACCTCCTCAGCCAGAGGACTTTGGGTTAGGTACGAAGAAGCTAATTATGTAGTTTGTTCTTTCATTAATTTATCTTAGAGGAGGTGCAGTCAGGATGCTCCTTGGAAGCATGAATGGAAGCTTTGTGTCACATGCTTTGGGTGTGCTGTTTGAGGCCAGTCCTTGGAGAAGGGCATCCTGCTTGGAAAGATTTAGAAGAGGAAGACCCTTAGCAAAAATGAATTTATGTGATGACTGTCACAGCATGCTTAAGTATATCAGATGGTGGGGATGGCACAGCATAGAGCCAGGTTTAGACGTAGTGTTCATAGGGTCTGTGTGAGTCACAGTCAACTCAACGACATATAATAACAACCCTGTCAGATATGACCCCTGATTTACAGATAACTTCTATGTTGAAGTTGTGATCTTTGTACAAAAAAGGCTTCCTGTTGAGAACTGTTGGAGAATTTGCCATTGTTTTAGATGTGTCCTTTTGGCAAGTCCTTGTCATCACAAATCATAGAGAGGGCTATATTTTTCTAAATAGTTGAGTCATTGTTTCTTTGGTCAAAGAAAAGGGATGGAATTATATAAAACAAGATTGTTGATTTTAAATATCTTTTAAACTGTTTAGAAAACAATCCCAAGAGAGTTACTCAGATACTCTTTAAACAAAGATAACATTGTTGAATTTTGTAGGGCAGCATTCATGCCAGGGTCCTAATATATTTATTTATATTTTTGAATGTTCCATAACTTTAGTCATGCCTCATTAAGTCTAGGCAAGTTGAATTCACATACCTTCTTGTAGTAGCAATACTCTGTCCCTGAGCTTCAGCTGGCAAGCACTTTTTTTGTTTGGCAAGCACTTTTTTCTGATAATCCTTGGAGGGAGATATGATGCCCATTTTGTTCATTACCAATATTAAGCTTAGCTTAGAAATATTTGTCTAAGTTCACCTTGTATGAGCTGACATCAGGATTCCTATTTTCTAGTTTTCTCTCTTGTTCTACTGTGTTAGTTATGCATGGAAAGCCTTAGCTGCTTGCAGAGCTACCCCTGGATAAAGGGTGTGCTATGCTTGGGGGAGGAAGGATGGGTCAGAGTAGTGGTACATTAGTCTTCACAAACTGCCTTAGAAGTAAGGGATCAGAACAGAAACTCTTAAGCTCTTCATAATTGGGTTTGGGGACTTCATCTTCATTTTTCTACCCATTATTTGCTTTGTGACCTTGAAGCTGTCTTTTACAGCCCTAATTTATGTGGTTTTGTCATTAAAATACTACTCTCGAGTTCACAATAACTCTTTCATATAACTGCTGACTGACATATCAGTCACTTAAAATGAACTTACACAGCCAGTAAGAGGATACCAGGGTTCAAATTTGGGTCTTTTTATAAGTTAAATACTATGAAGAGTTAGTGAGACTAAAATATTTTATTTCTTGTGTTTCTCATATGTGTCTGTGTTGAGGAGTTCTTTTCCTGATGGAAGAAGACTAAGGTTAGACAGCAACAGATTACTAACACTTAGCTAACCTCTTCCTAGAATGATTCCTGCTCCTGGGACCCAGGCCTTCCTGGACCTTGGAGACAGCCCGCTAGTACACAGACTGTGACTCATCGAATGAGGCTCATTTGCCCCAGGCTGTAATTCCTCTGAGATTAAGAGAAGCTGTGACTCTGGGAAGAGTTCCTCCACATTTTATGCTTAGTAATACAACTCATCTTGAGCTCAGTAGGAGGTGGTATGTGGATTCATGGTATAATTAGAACTAAATTTGAATGCAGATTTTCTTTAGCTTCCCCCCCCAAGCCTACAGCTATCTGTAAAATAAGGAAAATCTTGTCGTTGTCATTTATTGCGTGTTTCTGTGTCATTGTAGTATTCAAACACATTGTTTAAACCACATAAGACAATTGATAGCATTACCATGTAAGAAATGTAATATAAAGATGTATTACTAAAGAATATAAAAATGATAATAGTTATAAAGCCTCTGGCACAATACCATATATATTGTAACTCACAAGGCAGTGTCCCTTGTCTTCTCATTTATGCATATGTGTTGGACTGAGCTTGAAGCCATGGGTGGCTGTTAATTTCTTTTTCCTTCTGAGTGTGCTTTGCCCAGTCTCAGTCCTGGGTGTGAACATCACTGACAAGATTGAGAGGAAGTGCCTCAGGTGTGCCCTGATTTGTTCTTTAGTGCCGTAATCCTGATTGTTCTTCACTCTTCACGGACTTACTTCTGGTTCCCCTTACTTCTTCCTTATGAGACTCCAGCCACAGACTTTCTTATCTTATTTCTCTGGTTCTTTTCTTCTTCCTAGGAAGCACCGCAGAGCACGAGACAGGTCCAGGTCCTCATCTTCTTCCTCCCAGTCATCCCACTCCTATAAAGCAGAAGAATACACCGAAGACACAGAGGAGCGAGAGGAAAGCACCACAGGCTTTGACAAATCAAGACTAGGGACCAAAGAATTTGTGGATCCAAGTGAAAGAGGTGGAGGCAGAGCTCGAGGAACCTTTGTAAGACCTTGCACCCTTCTCTTTTCACCAGAATACCTGTGTTGCCTCTAATACAAGTAATTTAATAATCTGTGAACACCAGGCTCTTTATAGCACACCCATCCCTAGCCTGTCCATTTTTAATTCCCCCCACCTGTGATCATGCAGCTGAAAGGGGTCTCAGAATATCCTCTGTTAATTTCTGCTCTATATGGAGAGGGCCTTTGGTCATGTTTATCTTCTTTCTAAGCTTGAGTTAGGTTGAAAGGGAGTGGCTGGAAAAAATGCTGGGCTGTTTTGGGAATGACCATCATTTTGCTGGAGTACAGCTACCTACTTATTCTGTGTTAGAAATCTGTTTGCAGAGAATTGTTTTACTTTATTCCTGACATGATCCTTTGTTCCCTTCCTTATTATCACAGCAATTTCGAGCCAGAGGGAGAGGCTGGGGCCGAGGTAACTACTCTGGTAACAATAACAGCAGCAGCAACAGTGATTTTCAAAAGAGAAACAGAGAAGAAGAGTGGGACCCAGAGTACACACCCAAAAGCAAGAAGTATTACTTGGTATGTGTTTGGGACCAGCAAAGACAATAGGTCCTTTGTCACATGTGATGGTTGCTACTGAAGGCTTATTTTGTTCATCGAAAACTGTGATTACGTTTGTGCAGGTATATTTGTAACATTGTTGCTACTGTTAATTGCAGTGGATGGAGCATGTCTTAAAGCAACCCTATGAACCAAAGGCCATCATCATTTATCAAAGTTCATAGAATTTCCAGAGGCTCCTTGTTTAGGAAGTGGTTGCAACATTAGAGGGATGCATATATTGGTTAGGCAGCATAGTGCTAGTTAGCTAGGTAGTGAGAGTAGTGCTTTGTATCAGAGAGTCAGAACCAATCCATAGCTGACCCACCAGCAGATTTTCAGAGGCAGTTAATCTCACAGGAAGAGGTTGCCCATTTTTCTCCCATAAAGTAGCTGGTAGACTTGAACCAGGTGCCTTTGCGTTGACTACCACTCCTTACCACTATGGTCAAAGTGGGCTGAGCTGCTGCCCACATCAGCCTAGCAACCTTAGGGCAACTAATGCCATCCCTGACTTGCCCTTCCGTTTATGAATTGACCTTTTGCCCTTTCTCCTTTGCCTTAGCTCACTCCCTACCCTTTCTCTGTTCTATTTCCTTCCAGCAACCCTGGGACCTTTTAGAACAAAGAGGACCTCTCTTTTTACCTCCCTCACCAGAGCTCCTTCGCTAGGTGTAATAGCCTTAATGAATGAATGGAAATCCAAACTCTCTGTAAATGTTCATTAAAATTATTTAAAAAAAATTAAATTTTTTTAAAAAAAAGGGGTTTATCATCTGATTGTGGGTTCCAAAGCAGAAAGTGTTAACTCTACCTGTTTAGTCCATTATTTGTTTCACTATTCAGCACTACCAACTTCAGCCTCCCTCTTGCTTTTTACCCCATAGTAGAGCCATAACCCTCTATATGAAATCACACTTCCCCTATCACTCCTTTATGTAGGGTTCACAATGCAGACACTTGGGATCTTTTTTAATTAAAATTTTTATTTTATACTGGTTTACTTACAAATTTCATATACATTGTTTTCACATCAGACCTTTCTCATTTCCTTTACCTACCCCTCCCTCCACCTATCAAATTGTGTAACCCTGTGATTAACTCCCCCACACTCATCCTCACCCTTCTGCTTTCCCCCCTTGGATCCTCATACATGTTCTAAATAATGGTCTTATACAGTGTGTGTCCATAATGCTCTCCATTCCCTTCCAAATTAGATAATGATTTACAGAATCATTTCTCCTGTATGCTGTGTAGTATTTTCATCCCGTGAATATACCATAATTTCTCAATCCATTCAATTGTGGGTGGACATTTGGGCTGTTTCCATGTTTTTGTGATAGTGAATTAACAATGCTATGAACATTGGTGTACAAGTCTCCATTTGTACCTCATTTCTCATTTTCTCAGTGTATTTCAAGCAGTGGAATAGCTGGGGCATATGGAATTTCTGTGTTAAGCTTTTTGAGAAAACACAAAAATGCCTTCCACAGTGGTTGTATCATTTGGGATCTCTTTTCAATGAAGAGAAATACTCCAAAATTAAGTGGCACCCGGGTTTCTCCCATCCAAGCTTTTGGGCATTTCCAGGCACCTCTTCTGGGCTTTTTCTCTCAACGTTGGGTCTCTTCTATCTTCTAGTCTGATGTACTTCGTCATATAAGCTTAGCAAGTGTGTGATTCTAATTTTTTTTAACTAAGGTAAAATAAAATACCCTTCTTCTCAGCCCTCACTTGCCACTTGAAAGAACATTGATGACCTGATTCTCTGTCTCATGAGTTTACAGGGCTTATTTGAGATGAAAGTGGTTCTTTTGTACCCTACCACACATGTTCTTTATGGCTCCTTCCATAAGCCCAAAACCAGATAAGATGGGAGACTGAGTTCTAGTCCTGTTTAGGTCATGAGTGGGTGTTCATTTGTCTGGCCTGGTGTGCAGGTGGTGGGTCAGGAAGACATAGAACGTACACTTTATATTTCAAGTTATTGCTATCTCTAGCAGCCTGGTTGAGATGTATGTTTTTTTTGTGATTGTTTTTCTTAAGGCCTGCCTTTAAGAGATAGTATGCTAAATTACTTGGAACTTAAAAGGACCTAAGCTGATGTTTAATTTGCATAGTGGGGGTGAGAATGAGTTAATATCTATAAAGATCTCAGTTTGGTACTTTGTGGAGGTCTTATCATAATTACAGTGTCCTAGCTGCTGCTTAAGGGAGAATTCCTAAGGCATTCAACCTAATATGCTTTTCACTCTGAACTGATACGATATTTGGAATGAGGGACAGGAGAAATGTGGTAGCAAAAGACTGAATTGCAGCAATTATTTTGGGGAAGGGACATTTCACTCTGGCACTGATAGCAATTTTTTTTTCCATGCAGCATGATGATCGCGAAGGTGAAGGTAGTGAGAAGTGGGTGAGCCGAGGCAGAGGCAGAGGCACCTTTCCACGGGGTCGAGGCCGGTTCATGTTCCGGAAGTCCAGCACCAGCCCCAAATGGGCCCATGACAAGTTCAGTGGAGAGGAAGGGGAAATTGAAGATGATGAGAGTGGGGCAGAGAACCGAGAAGAGAAGGACAGTTTACAGCCCACAACTGAATAAGGGCCCCTCTGATGGGAGCCCCTGCCCAGAGGGAGAGAAGCGCTGGGAAGAGTGGCTGTCGAAGAGCCAATAAACAGGAGCTTCAAAAAGATTCTGAAAATACCCACCTGCCTGCCAACCCACCACCAGCCTTGCAAAATCCCACTACAGCCAGAAACATCCTTGGCACTGTGTCTCCTAACAGAGGAGGCCAGCCATGAGCCTGGCCTTGAGAACACAGCACATTATTCGGCTTTAGCTGTGTTTCTTGAGAATTTGTTGTTAGTGTGTGGGGTTGGGCTGGGATGGGGATTGGGAGGGCAGTGTTTGGATTTTGGTTTGTTCCCTGTTAGAAATCAACAGTTCTTCATTTCGTTTTATTTGAAGCTAAGAGAAGTAATTGGTTTTCTGCCTTTCTCCCCCTTACTTCTTACTTTAAAACCCTTCCCCCTCTTTTTTTTTTTTTTTTTAAAGGCATAGGTAGTAACATTAGAAAAAAGACATTTTTGGGCAAAGCATGTGAATAAACATTGAAATGTTCACCTCAGTTTGGGACCAAACTGCTTGGATCTTTGTAGAAATTGATTTTAAATGTCATGGAGGAGTTCATGGTCTTTCTGACCATCTTTTGTTCCCCTTTTCTGCACAGCCACCCTGGCTCCAAACCATACCCCACACCCCCCTTCCATCTTTTCTGATTTCTTCTGGGCTAAACTACCACCCTCCACCAGCAGCTCTAGTATCCTAAACTTTCTAGACTTGCAACACAGCAACTGGGGTGGAAATTGAGGGCAGTTTCTGGTCTGTTTTCTAAGAAACTTCTGAATTCTATTATCTTTACAAAATATAAGATGAAAAAACTAATTTTTTCAATATTTTTTATTAATCTTTTTATAAAGAAACTCCTTTGATCAATTAAGGAAGGTGGTTTGGTTGGGTGGTTCGTGGGGATATTTTTTTGGTTTGTCTTTTTTTTAAAAAAAAGCTTTAAGTTGAAACATGCTCAGATGTTGGGGGGAAATCCTCTTAAAATGGGTATCTAGTGCTTGCCTTCTGGGGAGGCGGTCCTGAGCAGGTGAATCATATGGCATTTATGCATATGTTATATGCGGACTGCACCCACTCTTCCCCCCAAACTTTGCGTATTGGATTGTTGTGCTACTTTCCCCTTACTTTGCTATATTTCTAAAGTTTAAGTTGGTTTTACCTGAATTACTCATGTTGGGGGGAGGGGGGTGAAGAATACCCTTAAAATTTGTTTCAACTCCTCCTGCAAATAAAATAAATGAAGTGGCAAATGTGCATGGGTTCTGGTTATTGTGTCTGTGTTACGTGTTATGAGGGAGGCCCCATAGCAGTTTATGTAAATCTAAAAGACAGTGTGGGGGCAGAATGTTGCTAGTTCCCTCAGCCTGGCTCCTTCAGTTCCCCAAGAAGGATCCTCACCCATCCTTCTATAAGTCAAGGTCACATACTTACCCCAGTGATTTTTGCATTATCCTGTACCTTGAACCCCAGGAGAGCCATGTTTTCTCCACTGTGGCTTCTTGGGAAAGGACTTTGACTTCCCCAGTGGTGGGGCAGTGGGTGTGGATGATCAAAACAGGAAGATTACCTGAAAGCCAAACCCCTATGGGCCAGGCCCCCAGCTGGCCCTTAACCTTCAGATCTTTACCAGCTCTGGGCTTGACTCTGATCCTTGACCTTACCTTGTAAGGTATAAAATGCCTTATTACCTACCTTACCCCAAGGATAATTGATCTCTGTTGACGGAAAAGCCTGGACCCCAGCAGCACTTAGGGAGATGGGTAGTCATTGGAAATTTGTAGTATATCGCCATTAGTCCTGGGTAAAAAACCAGCAGCCATCTCTAGCCAGGCCCAGGTTAGAGTGGTTGCTGCCTGCTAGGAGCCCCACCCTGGTATGTGCCTCTCCACACCTCTTCCCCTGCAGCTAAAAGCTTGGGAGGATGGGCCCAGAAAGCTCTCTGCTAAAGGTGGGTGGAAGCCTCAAGGCTAAGAAAGGTTGGGAGAAATGGGGAGGCGGCTAGACTGGAATTTAAGTGACTGAACGGGAAAGAGTCTGGAGGAGGTGTGAGCCCCGTACAGGCCTAGAGACGAGTCCTTTTCATCCACGGGTTGGGGGCCGAACCTGCCAAGCGGGCCGCCCCTCTCCCACACCCACTCCTAGCACCTGGAGCCTGACCTATCGCTTTGTGTCTCCGCCTTCTTTGCTTCAACCACTTTGTAGCCCTTCCTACCCGGTAACAAGCCCAGAGTCGCCAGCGGGACTGAGCTGTCTTAAGCTCCCAGCTCCGCAGGGCGCCCCAGAAGCCATGGGTATGTGAGGACAAGATTGAGTGCCTTCTCTTTGTAACTGTGTGGTTGTGGTAACAGTCCCACTGTGGACACCCCACTAACACGCTGTCATCTGCCTTGATGCTTCTTGGTGAGTCCCCTCACTCCTGGGCCTTGCTGAGCCGCGTCCCCGCCCCATCCTCCGCCCGCAGAGGTCCTGGTCCTCTACAGATACCGTGCACAGAAAGAGGGCGAGCTGAACCTGGTGCCTGGGGATGTGGTCCGGCAGGTGCACCGCGGGCCCGCACGGGGCTGGTTGCGCGGAGAGCTGGGGAAACAGCGCGGCCTCTTCCCCGAGCGTCTGGTACAAGTAAGGAGGGAACAAACAGTGTGGGGGGGGAGGGTCTGCACAGCGTGGGAGCCGAAAACCTCTCTCTCCGTCTTCCTGATTCTGTCTTAGGAAATCCCAGAGAATTTGCGGGGCATCACAGAGGCGCAAAAACCGCGCTGTGCCCGCAGCAGAGGTGAGCCCCTTCCAGAGGTAGTTGGGTGGGGCTGTGGGAGGGGCTTGAGGATGCGCTGCGGTCTGTGATTGGTTCTTGGACACAATGCGGGGCGGGGCCTGAAGGCACTAAGATGTGCGCTTTAGGCCCATTCCCACCCTCTGCTCTGTGCCCCGGGCCGGCCGACCAAAACTGCCACATTGTCGTCCACATCAGGTCACCCCGCTAAATCTCGGGGGCCTCAAAGATGGTGCAAGGTGAATTTCAACTACAGCCCAGAACAGGCAGACGAACTGATGCTGCAAGTCGGGGAGATGGTGGAAGTGTTAAAGGAGGTGAGATAAAATACAGAAAGGGTATGGGCATATGATGGGGCAAGTCAGTGGAGATGATGAATAGGAGAGACGAAAAAGGGGATGTGGGAGATGAAATTATTGAGGGGCACAGAGATGGGGAGGTGAGGAACCAAGAGAAGAGGCGTTTCTCAGGTGGAATCAGAACAGAACCAGGGAATGTCGGAGTTTAGAGACCGTTGGGGCAGAGCCAGATGCCCCTGCGTCCTCCCTCCTCCCCAGATTGAGGACGGCTGGTGGCTGGGGCAGAAGAACGGGCAGCTGGGAGCCTTCCCATCCAACTTTGTGGAGTTGCTGGACAGTGGGCCCCCAAGTGAGACTTCGATCTTGGCACCCCGTGAACCGTGTGACCAGACTCTGTAACCTCCATTGACAGTGGCCTCAGCCTGTGATCCTCACAACTTGAGCCTGTGACCCCTTTGACCCTTTCCCACGATCTCTCTTGTAAAAATTTGCACTCTCCATGTAACATCTCTGGCTCCCCCTTTTCCTAGGCCTTGATAACACCGACACGCCTTCCATCTGCCCTTACTCTCAGCGGCCTGCCAAGGTAAACTGCCATAGCTGGATGTAGAAGTGGTAGGTTTCCCGTAGGGAGATTGGAAGCTTAGCTTGTTTCTCCTCTCCCTGTCCTCACTAGCTGAGCAGCCTGACATATGACAGCCCTCCAGATTATCTTCGCACAGGTAAGCACCCTGCCAAAGGATCACCTCATCTTCCTGCCCACCCCACCCCCACACAGGCCACACTACCCTGACTTGATGGGGGAGGGAGCTGCTGCTGCTGGAGGGTTTGTTTTGCTTTTCTGACTTCCTTTCAGTCTCCCATCCAGAGACGTATAGGGTCCTGTTTGACTACCAGCCTGAGGCCCCTGACGAATTGGAGCTGCGGAGAGGGGACGTGGTGAAAGTACTAAGGAAGGTGTGAAAGGAATAGGGGAGGAGAGAGGGTGGGGTTGCTAAAAAATGGGTGAGACCCAAAGGAGGAGTAACTGGGGGTGGTGGGCAGGTTCACCTCTCACTCTTATTTTTCTCTCCCAGACCACAGAGGATAAGGGCTGGTGGGAAGGAGAGTGTCAAGGCAAGAGAGGAGTTTTTCCAGACAACTTTGTGCTGCCACCACCCCCAGTGAGTAACAAAGCCTCATACACAGATGGCATAAAGCCAAACTATTTTGGACAGAGTTAGGGGTTGTGGCATGCTCTGGGCTCATCCAGAGGAACATGTGGCTCCCTTGAAACCACCAGGGGGCTATGATTCTCCTTGAATCCCATTGCAGGGTCACTCCTAAATAGTTGTGTTAGGTGCCATCAAGTGGAGTATGACTCATAGCGACCCTATGAACAACAGATCCGAACCCTGTCCAATCCTGTGCCATCCTCATCATCTCTGACACCTTTAACCATTGCAGCAGTCACTGTGTCAATCCATCTTGTTGAAGGTCTCCCTCTTTCACTGACCCTCCACCTTTCCAAGCATGATGTCCCTCTCCAAGGGGTAGCCTTTCCTAGCAACATGCCCAAAGTATGTGAGATGAAGCTTTGCCATCCTTGCCTCCAGGGAGCACTCTGGCTGCACTTTTCCCAACACATATCTAATATTTCCTCATCAAAAGGAAACAAATACATACATACTGATAGCTACATTTTCAGACCCCTACAGAGTAAACCTAAAAGTGTGGGAGCACTTCCCCAGATTCAGGTCTTCTCTTTCTTCATAGATCAAGAAGCTGCTCCCGCGGAAAGCAGTATCTCGAGAACCAGGTACGTTCCCATTAAGCCTTGCTTTGGGAGATATTCTCAGGAAGATCCAACTCAGTTATCCATAAACACCCACAGCTTCCCTACCATCACCCCTGCACCACCAACCCCTGTAGGGTCTCTCTTTCCTCTGGTCATGGTTGGAACGTACATGGGCCAAAGTATGTGTGAATGTATCAGTTTGTGTGTGTTGATAGCTGTGTTTCTATGCATATCTTAAAATGTAGCTATCAGTATTTATGTATGTGTTTCATTTTTTGTGAGGAAATGTATGGATCTGTGTGCATATGGCTGTAAGACAGTGTAGTTCACACACACTGCTTTTGTATGTCAGTACATACCACTGTATTGTCCAGGTGTCTGTAGGGATGTGTGTCATATTATATTTTAACACATTTTAAACATGCCAAATAGAAATATATATATATATAATGTATCATGAAAACTTAATAGTGAACACCCATGATCTACCCATCAAGAACTGGAACATTGCCAATAATTTGGTTTTTTCTCTTTTTTATTTTGCCACTGCCCCTACCTCAGAAGTAACCAAAATTTTGTGTTTATAAAAATGTCCCATTGGGGAGATCTGGTGACCTAGTGGCAAGAAGCTGCACTGCAGTCTCAGAGATATGTGGTTCGAATCCACCAGATGCTTTGCCAGAGAAGGAGGGGCCATCTTCTCCTGTACCAGTCAGATCCAATGTGACGGTGCACACACAGAGAAAATAATAAAATAAAAGTGAAAAAAAAAAGTGCACGGTTCAAATCCACCAGATGCTCTGCTGGAGAAGGAGGAACAATCTCCTCTTGTACCAGTCAGATCTGATCTGACAGTACACATACACACACGCAAAATAATAAAATAAAGGAAAAAAAGTCCCATTAATTCACAATATTTTTGTAAATATATGCAAGTGCCTAGACAATATTATCGCTTGATTTCCGCCCCCCCCCCAGCCTTGTTTCTGAACTTTATAAATAGGGATCATACTATAGATAATCTGTTGGGATATGCCATCAAGTTTGGTTTCTGAGGCTATAAGTCACATGGGAGGAGACTCTTGCCCATCATTCTCCCACGAAGCTGCTGGTGAATTCCAACCACCAGCAGGGTGCTGCCTCGGGGTTAGTCTTGATAAGCCAGGCAACAGAACTCCCTTTGAAGGGAATAGACCACAATTTGTGTATCTTTTCCTGAGGCAGAGGGATGTTTTTGTTGTTGGAGGGGTTTTTGGCTTTTAAACTAGAACTCCATAAGTATTCATGCAAGTGTTTTCTGGCTGTGTGCAAATGTAATAGTATTTAGGTATACTCTTAGGGACTGGCACTGCCAGGTATAGAAATGTTCCATTTTTACAAGGTATTGTTGAATTGATTTCCAAAATGATGGCATCACTGTTAGTGTATAAAGGATCCTATTGGCCTACAGCTTGGAATACTTTTCCCAAGGTAGGAGGCCATCTACTTCTGAGAAGATTTACATCTTTGTGAATTCTCTGGGACAGGCCTTCAGGGTTATTATGAGTTAGAATGGCAATGGGGGTTTTGGCTAATAATAGGAGTTTGCCTTTATGTTTGAAAGTTAGCTTGTCTGGGTAGAGAATGTTTGGTTGACTTCTTTTTCTTTCTCACCCAGCACTTTGAATGCCATACCACTTCTTTCTGACCTCTCTTTCTTTCTGAAAATATTTATTAAAAAATGATTCACATAAAATTACAAGTCATCAATTTTAAGTGGATACTATTATGTTTGTCTTCCAGTTTTTGTCTGGCTCTAATTCTCTGTAATCACCAGTTTTCTTTTGTTTTGATGGATATGCCTGTTTCCAATACTTCATGGAAGTGAAGATAATACTTGTTATTTTATAACTGACTTATTTCACATAGCATAGTGGTTTGTTTGTTTTTTGGGTTTTTTTTTTGTGTGTATGTACCGTCAAATCGGATCTGACTGGTACAGGAGGAGTTTGCCCCTCCTTCTCCAGCAGAGCATCTGGTGGATTTGAACTGCGTACCTCTGGGATTGCAGTGCAGCTTCTTGCCACTAGGCCACCAAAGCTCCCTTCATAGTGTTTTGTTTTGTTTTTTTTAATTTATCCATGTGATAGTATATATAAGAACTGTCCTTTGTTCATTATAACCAAATACTTCTCCATTGTATGTGTATATACAATATGCTTAGCTGTTCATATGTTGATAGGCACGTTATCTCTACCTGATAACCTTTTTGGAGAACACAGCAGTGAACGCTGGTTTATATGCATCTCTGTGAACAGCTGCTTTTGATTCTTTTGTGTAAATAGTTAGGAGTGAAAACACCAAGACATATCTTTCTACGGTTAACATTTTTAGAAATCACTGTTTTTCATACCAACTGCATCATCTCCCATTTCTCCTCATCTGTGTCTATACTTTTTGTTAAAAAAATATTAACCAAAAAAAGCAAAAGAAAAAAAATCTAAAAATGTATTCAGATCTTGAAACTTTACCTCTGTGTTTTCTTCTGAAAATGTTATTATTTTGGCTCCTGTACATGGGCTGTTGATCCATTTTGAGTATTAGTATATGGTAAGAGGTATGAGTCTAGCTTTATTCTTTTTATTTTGTAATCCAGTTGTCCCAGCAGTATATATTCAATATTCTTTCCCCTGTTGCATAGATTTGACACTCTTCTAAGAAATCTGTGAACCCTACATCTATAGTCTTATTTCCAAGCTCTCAATTTCATCATATTGTTTCATATATTGATCCTTATCCTGGTTTGTTGTTGTTGATTGCCTTTGAGTTGAACACAACTCAGCGACCCTATGAACAAAAGGCCTGAAGCCCCTCTACAACTATCAACATTTATCAAAGTCCATAGAATTTCTGGAGGCATGTTGTTTAGGAAGTGGATGCCACTCCTGCCTCATCATAGTTTTTATTACTGTAGTTTTGTAGTGTGTATTATAATAGAGAAGTATAAACGTCATTCTTGATTTCTTGGTTTGTTTGGGTTTTTTTAATCTTTTTTTCCTAAATTGTCTGAGTTAAAATTCTAATTCGATGTATATTTAAGCATCTAGCAATCATTTTTGGTAAAAAATACATCTTAACAGTTTTGGTTTTACCAAACTGAGCATGCAGTGTTTTTCCATTTATTTAGCTCTCCTTTGTTTTCTTTCAAAGAAACCTATTGGTTTATTGCTATTACTTAATCTATTTCTATTTCTGTTATTTTTATAGTTTTCAGTATATAAGTTTACACCTGCTTGGTTAAATTTAACCCTAGGTATTTTAATCTTTGAGAAGTTTTTGTGAAATAAATTATTTCCTTTTCAAATAGTTCCTTTCTGGTGCATACTGATTTCAGTGGATTGATCATATACCCTGCAACTTTGCTAAGTTTTTTGTTACCTTCTATCTTTTCTATGAATTAGTGAGGCATGTCTCTTAATTTTTGTTTAAAACTAGACATGTGGATTATGATGTATATTTTCTGGCTGAAGGAAATTGATTTTGTTATTTATTTTGTTTCTTTGTTTAATAACGCACCAGCGCTGAATCTCTTAAATCTGTATTTCCAGTGGTAATGTGGTTACCATTGTCTCTTTTCCGTTTTGTTAAGAAAATTGTTGAAAGCATAGCTTCCTAAGGCTCACTCCTGTCTGTATCATATATTATTGCTTAGTCAATGACTGGACAGAGCTGGGCTCAGACAGATCGAGTAATTAACACTATCACCCCCTGCCTCTGGATCTGTCAAAGTTTATGCTATTTTCAAGTCTTTCCTGACCTTTACTTTCTATTCAGCCCTTTCACATATTCTCTGGACATGGAAGCAGCCTCAGGGTTGACCAGAACTGTGTGGATAACTTGGACTTCCTCTGGTCCCTCTTGCCCTGGCACCCAGCCTCCACCAGGAACATGTGTAGCCAGGCCTGCTGCCCGCATCATCACTCCCACCAACCCACACAATGTCAGTGGGTGGAATGATCCCTCTTCAACCCTGGCAGTGACATTGCTCTTCCTCAGCATCAATTCCACCCTGACAGGACTTCCCTGGGGTAAGAGTACCATCAAGTGTAAATGCTTCTCAGACTGTTACATGCCTTAGGTCAGGCTCTTGAATGATTATTTTGTCAAATTTCCCAACTTCACATTTTTTTAAAAAAGAAAAGGATTTGTCTATTAACTCAGCCATAGCCAAATTCTATCTATATTCTTCACTACTCTTAACCTTCCTTTCAAATACTTCACTGTATTCTAGTTCACTTAATTGTCTCTCTAATTGTTTGGCTAAATCTAATTTACTATTTGAACTCTGGTGGCCTAAGTAAGTAGCTGCCCAGCAATCTCCAAGGGACGCAGATCGAGTCCACCAGTTGTTCTATAGGAGAAGGATGGGTAATCTCCTCCAACGCAAGTAACGGCCTCTGAAAACCCACTGGAGGGTCAGTTATGGGTCGGTTCTGACTCAGCAGTACACAACAACAATCTGCTATTTAAACATTGCAATTTATTTCAAATGGGCTTTTTTTAAAAATAAAGCCATTTTTCTCCCTAGCAGTTTGATTTTCTATCCTTTTCCCCAAGTATACTGTCCCTCCCTGGTGAGCCCTTTGGATGCCTTCTACACCTTGTAATCCTTCAGATGTTTACACCTGGCCGTTCTTTGTTCTGTGACAGTTCCCATACCTGCCATGTCTGCTGACTCCTGTTCTTAGTAGCCTACCTTCTTGTGTGTGGGGTTTTTTTTTTCTATTTTTTTTGTTATTATTACTTTTAATGAAAATTTACAGAGACTTTGGATTTCCATTCATTCATTGTTGCACTTTTCTCCCTGCCCACCCTTCCCCACCCCCAGGACACTCTTCTCTGTGAAAAGTAAAAGAAAAATTCTTTCATTGTTTTACAATCCCTCCCCCCAGGTTCACTCCACTATGCAATCTTTGTTCTGGACTCCTGTCATGACATTAATACCTAATCACATATCCCTTTAAAACAGTTTTCTCCCACAT